TATTCCCAGTCATGTGAAATCCATAGATTAGGGCCTAATTAATGTATTTCAATTGACTGATTCCCTCATATGAACTGTAACTCAGTAAAATCAATGAAATTGTAACATGTTGTGTTTATATTTTTGTTCACTATAGTTTGGCCACTTATTTTGAGCAAGAAAAAAATAAATTAATAATAATAATATATATATACGCACACAGTGCCTTCTGAAAGTATTCAGACCCCTTGACTTTTTCCACATTTTGGTAGGTTACAGCCTTTTCTAAAATTGATTAAATTGTTTTTTTCCCCTCATCAATCTACACACAATACCCCATAATGACAAGGCAAAAACTAAAAACTGAAATATCACATTTACATAAGTATTCAGACCCTTTACTCAGTACTTTGTTGAAGGACCTTTGGCAGGGATTACAGACTCAAGTCTTCTTCGGTATGACGCTACAAACTTGGCACACCTGTATTTGGGGACTTTCTCACATTCTTCTCTGCAGATCCTCTCAAGCTCTGTCAAGTTGGATTGGGAGTGTCGCTGCACAGCTATTTACAGGTCTCTCCAGAGCTCTAGCTGGGCTACTCAAGGACATTCATAGACTTGTCCCGAAGCCACTCCTGCGTTGTCTTGGCTGTGTGCTTAGGGTCGTTTTCCTGTTCACAGGTGAACTACCTCATGTAGAAAATAGTAAAAATAAAGAAAAACCCTGGAATGAGTAGGTGTGTCCAAACTTTTGACTGGTTCTGTATATATAAATAAAATAAATATAATAATTGGCCTGTTTTGCATGTTATTTTGGCTTCCATATGTGTTATTTCATAGTTTTGATGTCTTGATATTATTCTACAATGTAAAAAATAGTACAAATAAAGAAAAACCCTTGAAAGAGTAGGTGTGTCCAAACTTTTGAGTGGTAGCAAAGCACCCCCACACCATAACACCTCCTCCTCCATGCTTTACAGTGGGAAATACACATGCGGAGATCATCCGTTCACCCACACCGCTTCTCACAAAGACACGGCGGTTGGAACCAAAAATCACCAATTTGGACTCCAGACCAAAGGACACATTTCCACCGGTCTAATGTCCATTGCTCATGTATCTTGGCCCAAGCAGGTCTCTTCTTCTTATTGGTGTCCTTTAGTAGTGTTTTTTTGCAGCAATTCGACCATGAAGGCCTGATTCACACAGTCCCCTCTGAACAGTTGATGTTGAGATGTGTCTGTTACTTGAACTCTGTGAAGCATTTATTTGGGCTGCAATTTCTGAGGCTGGTAACTCTAATGAACTTATCCTCTGCAGCAGAGGTAACTCTGGGTCTTCCATTCCTGTGGCGGTCCTCATGAGAGCCAGTTTCATCATAGCGCTTGATGGTTTTTGCGACTGCAATTCAAGAAATGTTCAAAGTTCTTGAAATGTTCCATATTGACTGACATTCATGTCTGAAAGTAATGATGGACTGTTGTTTCTCTTTGCTTATTTGAGCTGTTCTTGCCATAATATGGACTTGGTATTTTACCAAATAGGGCTATCTTCTGTATATCCCCCTACCTTGTCACAACACAACTTATTGGCTAAAACACATTAAGAAGGAAATAAATTCCACAAATTAACTTTTAAGAAGAGACACCAGTTAATTGAAATGCATTCCAGGTGACTACCTCATGAAGCTGGTTGAGAGAATGCCAAGAGTGTCCAAAGCTGTCATCAAGGCAAAGGGTGGCTATTTGAAGAATCTCAAATATAAAATATATTTTGATTTGTATAACACTTTTTTGGTTACTACATGATTCCATATGTGTTATTTCATAGTTTTGATGTCTTCACTATTATTCTACAATGTAGAAAACAGTAAAAATAAAGAAAAATCCTTGAATGAGTAGGTGTGTCCAAACTTTTGACTAGTACTGTATAATCGAAGAAAGACACGCCTTACTCTTGCTTGCTGGATATAAAATAGGCTAAAGTGTTCACAATGAACTGGTGGGGAAGTTTGAATGTCTAAAGCTTCTCTGGTGTAATGTGATCACATTGGCTGGTGGTAAAAATGCAATAAAAGGGAATCTTCTGTTCTCCCCGCGCCCAATGTTTATGTTTACAATTAAATGTATTACATCAGAATGCCCAATGTCTTTCCAATCAAATTCATGAATTAAGTTAGAACGTTTTCCTATCGTTCTAATTTGCATATATATTGTGATTGGATGACAGCTGTGAGGGTTATCAAATCAGAATAAAATCCTCTGATATCCACAAGCTCATTAATGATAGAATGTTAATATTTGAAGATTGCCGAAAGGCCAGTCTCTTTGGCAATGACAAGGCGTGGCAAGGAGTGGAATGTTAGCTAAAGAGACTGGTACCTGGGCTAAAGGAGACCCCCAACTCCGCTAAAACTATTACATTTTACATGTACATTTGACTAATTTAGCAGATGCTATTATCCAGAGCGACTTACAGGAGCAATTAGTGTTAAGTGCCTTGCTTTTTCACCTAGTCAGCTCTGAGATTCAAACCAGCGACCTTTTGGTTACTGGCCCAACGCTCTTAACCGCTAGTATACCTGCCGCCATGTGTCCCGTTTTCAAGGGGTTGTTAAATAAATGTTAACTATTTGTTTGTAATATCATCACGTCTTGAAGAGCATAGTCATAACTAGACATTTCAGATTATTCCATGCAAAACAATTGCGTACATTAGCTTCATCATCAGAGTTATATAGCAAGTAACTGCATGCTTTTCATGGTCTATAAATATCAATTGATCATGTAATTTCAGATACGTGAGGGTAGCCTCAGGATACTGTATATCTCAATATTGGCCACCATTAATTGGATATTTGAGTGATATAAAATAAAAGTGAACTATACCTGACAAGTACCCCCCTCGGCCTAAACTGGTTAAATCAACATTGTCATAACTAGACATTTCAGATTATTCCATGCAAAACAATTGCGTACATTAGCTTCATCATCAGAGTTATATAGCAAGTAACTGCATGCTTTTCATGGTCTATAAATATCAATTGATCATGTAATTTCAGATACGTGAGGGTAGCCTCAGGATACTGTATATCTCAATATTGGCCACCATTAATTGGATATTTGAGTGATATAAAATAAAAGTGAACTATACCTGACAAGTATCCCCCTCGGCCTAAACTGGTTAAATCAACATTGTTTCCACGGAACCAACTTGGAATAGACGGTGAATTTATGTCTGTGCCCAGTGGGATGAGAGGTTTAGGTTAATTTCTCATCCTTTGTGGGCTCAGATCTGCCTGTCAAGTAGTAGATAGGCGCATTTGCCATTACCATTCTTCTGGCAGCAGGATATTATGCTGAAACAGGGAAGAAACAAATATGTTGCTTTGTTATTTAACTTCAACGAATCACGACCCGGCATAGGATATCAACAGTGACAAGGGTTGGCTGTTATATAAGTGATAGTTTGACTCTCAAATCCGTGAATTGGTGTGAGGCCAGCGACTTTTATAGATAGACAGCCCCGATTTCTCCGTGCCATTTGAGAAAAGAACCACATTTCCATCCACAGTTTTTATGCAAGTAAAGTCATACCTTAAAAAAAAAAATCATGACAGCTATGATGGAAACAGGAAGTTTCGGTATAATTTCATTATACAGACATCATTTGTTCGTTCGACATGGTGGGATCTTTTTGTGTCGGTAACATTAATTATGCGAGAAATGGCGGTGGAAACGCTTTTATGCGCAAATATTGATAAAAAAAACATCATATCGCTGTAAACTTGGAGTCACGCAATGATATGGTGTGTGGTCTCCCACTTATTAGGCTACAGTTGAAATAAGTTATATGAACTTCACAGGATGGTGAAAGTGCACGGTGATGAGCTTGATGCTCCTTTCCAATAAATATTGAGGGTCTTATTCTGGTGACATGATGATCGATGCTTGACTGCTGTTGACAAATAAAACATATTCTCGCCCTTATTGATAATAATCTCATCATGTAGACTAGCCTACCCCCACAGCCTACCCCCACAGCCTACCACTACAGCCTACCCCCACAGCCTACCACTACAGCCTACCCCCACAGCCTACCACTACAGCCTACACCTACAGCCTACCCCCACAGCCTACCACTACAGCCTACCACTACAGCCTACCCCCACAGCCTACCCCCACAGCTACCCCTACAACCTACCCCCACAGCCTACCCCTACAGCCTACCCCCAGAGCCTACCCCCACAGCCTACCCCCACAGCCTACCCCTACAGCCTACCACCACAGCCTACCCCCAGAGCCTACCCCCACAGCCTACCCATACAGCCTACCCCCACAGCCTACCCCACACTGTACCTGCGAGCTGTTGGCTAGAGCGCACGTGCATTTTGTGTGCACTATGTCATCACACACAGATTTTTATCAGCAACAAGTCCATTTGGTGGAACACACCACTGGTGGGAAAATGCGCATATTTTCTTTTTGCAGATTTGAGATTAATTGCATGAAAATCTGTCGGCAATTGGATGGAAACCTAGCTACTGACAGCAAGAGTCCTGCGACCTCCAGCACGTATGACAAAATCAGCAGTACAAAACCAAAGATATTGATCTGTTTTATGCTTTGATCTTGTGTTATCTTGCTGACTTTAAACTTTTATACTAAGATGTGTAATTCCCCCCAATTCAATGTGGTCAAAACATCAGCTTGTGTAATGTAGTAACACATACTGTCCACATCATGGATAGTAGCATAATATACATTAATTAGATATAGCAAAATAATTAAACATCTTAATTTAGGATGATAGTAAATTAAGCAAACTCACTGATTTTTACAATAATCACATATATTTCTTACTGGTTTAACCTTTTAGAGAGTTTTTATTTTTCTTATGCGCAATTTAACCAGGAGCTTAAGAAAGAGTTCCCATTATGACTGTGCAGAAGCCCATTCATTCACCCTCCCTCCTCTAGTTGTGCTGTTCCACTGTTACAGAGGTTTTCACTGGTAAGATTCTTAGTGAATGTGAGAAAGTAGAACAATTAAAGTAGAACGGAAAGACTCTCTCAGTGAGTCTGTCTCCAGTGTGTGTTGATGTGTGTAGGTGTGTGTTGTTATCAGGTTCAGAGAATGACAGTTTCCTCTGTCCCTGTCCAGTTGTACTCTGAACCTCAGTGTGAATAGGGTGGGTGAAAAATATGGTATGTATCTAGTATCACACCACTGTATTCCACACATTCTAACCCAGTGACCATGTCCTTTCCTGGAGAAAGACTCTGGGGCCACAACTACAACAAAGAATGTACTATCTGCAACCTCAATGTCCCAGCTGTGTGCCCTCTGAGACCAGGACGTTAGATTTATCAAACCTCTCTGGGTTGTCAGGAAACTGCTGTGTCTCTCCAATGTGTCTCACACTGGTCAGATCATCAGAGAGGAGGAGACCTGGGTGACCAGTGTTGTGGTCCAGAATGACAGGACCTAAAGAGATAGAACAGGAAACATATAGTATGACTAAAACAAGGACATTTCATATGATGTTTATTTTTTTTAACAACACTACTTTTATACTATGATCAATATAATACATTGCATAATTTTCAATACAATTATAAATGTGCATATCCATGGTCCTCTGTAGCTCAGCTGGTAGAGCACGGCGCTTGTAACGCCAAGGTAGTGGGTTCGATCCCCGGGACCACCCATACACAAAAAATGTATGCACGCATGACTGTAAGTCGCTTTGGATAAAAGCGTCTGCTAAATGGCATATTATTATTATTATTATTATTACTATCTAGTTCTGTTTGTTTCTTAGGTACAAATATATAATAAGCCATTTTCTTCATGATTCTTTGTATAATCATAACACAATACTCACTGTACTGAACAATTTCCTGCATCTTCTCCCAGACTCTGAACTTCAGGTTGCCTAGGTGTTTGGCCACATCTATCAGTGCTCCTAAGACCAGCTGTGGATCTGGCAGTGTGCACTTGGCTCTGGAAGAACATTGAAGAGTCAGTGCTGTTGTGAGGGTTCAGATTCAGAACCACCGTGGCTGTGTAGTTCTGCAGAAGGATAGAAGGTTGTCAATGTTATCCATCAATTTATCATAAAATAATGTCTACAAAGGACAAATATGTTGGTTCTTACCTGTAGAAATGAGATATCTTCAGCTCCCAGCTCCTCCTCTCTGATTGTGTCTGAAAGGCATGATATCTCTCTGCTCATCTCCTCAATCTTCTTCTTCTTCATCATCTGACTCTTCTGCTCCTCTTCCTCCTTCAGAGCAGCTATCCTGGCTGCCTCTTCCTCTCGTAGAAACTGGTGAAGCTTCTCAAACTCCTTCTTAACCTGGCTCTGGATACAGTGAGAGGAATATGTGGGTAACTGTTGGTGAATTAAATATATACAAAATATTGCATACTAGCAGCACTCAGTATTCTTACCTTAATGTGGTCAGCTGTTCGATCACGTTACTTTAACTACGTTAAAGATCTTTAGCTTCTATTGTAAGGGTTTCAGTGCAATCTTGAGTTCCTCCTGCAACGAAATAACACAGTGTCAATGTCAGGGGTGCATAACACTCTTTAATCCACAAGGATGTTAGTCGTTCCGATTTTGTTTCTGCATGACACTGATTAATTAATGTAATCAATAGGCTACCTAGGTAGTCAATAGCCTTCCAAGACAGGTGTAGTGCACCCCTGGTCTGTATCTGGATGGTGTGGAGTAGCAGGGTTACATTTTACAACTTCGGATCAGGTGATTTATTTCATCGATTCAAGTGGCATTTGTTTACTATTCTGACACTGATTTAGCTCTTTTATGTTTTTACTTAAATCCACACAATAAGAAACTTGCAAAGCAGGCTGAACCACCACTGACTATAGGTGCCAGATCACGTGAGTTTCATTTCTAACACACCCAGTTTGTAGATAAGTATACCAGATTCTATAGGTCCTTATATATCCTCATATAGGTCCATATATTAGTTCCTTATATATCCTCATATAGGTCCTTATAGGTCCATCTATTAGTTCCTTATATATCCTCATATAGGTCCATATATTAGTTCCTTATATATCTGTATTATATACACTATACCCTCATTCTGAATGATTAGGTATGTCCTCACAGTTACTTTCTCACTGTATAATCCTGTGCAGCTTCATCTATGGGACAGAAGGTGTAGTTTTTGTGTTTTCTGGAAGTCTGACACACAAAACAGACAGGCTGTTTATCCTCCAGACAGAAGAGCTTGAGTTTCTCGCTGTGCAGACTACAGAGCACCTCAGACCCTGCTGAAGCTCTTTGACTCCTCTCCTGTAAGGCCTCACACAGGTTCTTTAAAACCAGGTTACATGGAGGCTCGTGTTTTGATGATCTGCTACAAACTGGACATTCCCGAGTTTCCTTTCCTTTCCAGTATTCCTGCAGACAGGCTTTACAGAAGCTGTGGCTACACGACAGGCGCACAGGATCCTTGAAGATGCCATAGCACACAGGACAGGAGAGATCCTCCTCTAGGAGAGACGATCTGGAAGCCATTTTCTCTCTCTGTAATGGCTTCTGAGGTTATATCAAATCTACTTTCACTTTTATGTTGCTCACTGAACCAAAGTCAGCAACATTCCAATGTTAGAGTTTAGATTAAAGTTTTGTTATGCTTTGTTATGCTGCCCCTTCGCTATGGTCTCTTACCCATTGTGATTATTATAAATCTTGTCTTCAGGTCTGACCAGGTAAATTAACAGCACGGCATGAATGTCAGTGTTGTACTGCACTTCACCCTGAACAGGTGACTACTTCCTGCATTTCTGAAAAGGGTAGAGGATGGAGCTATAGGGAAACTATTATCATCTACTTTGATTTCAGAGAGAGAGATTAGGGCCACAATACAATGATCCTACCTAGACTAGTCTACAAAACCACAATACAATGATCCTACCTAGACTAGCCTACAACACCACAATGCAATGATCCTACCTAGACTAGCCTACAACACCACAATGCAATGATTAACTGCATTATTGTTTTCAAGCGAGTACACAATTCTACTCTAGGCTGCAGTGAAAAATGTTATTTGCATAAAGGCCTATGATTTGAATGTTTTATTCCATTTGGATCAGTTGTGGGTCTACTCTAGGCAATTTCTAAGGTCTAGAAAGGCACAGTAGCAGGCAAGTCCTGCTGTATTTTTTACTTCTGATAATGAGATGCGCTGTGTAATGAAACAGGCAGGGAGAGTGAGTGAGTTAGTGCGTGGTGGTCAGCGAACCCTCATCCTTCTGGCCTGTATCCCTGCGCGGCTTTGACTGTGCCACAAAAGCATGCTGAAGTCGATAGCCACGTTTATAAACACAGGGTCGCTACAGTTATTGTTATCTGTGGTCGTAAACATGATTTTGAGTTAATTCTATGAGTATGAGGGGGGACGGTGTGCCATTTTTTTTACAGTACAAGGTAGGGTCATGTGAAAATATTTGTAACTTTGGGGAGGGGGGTGCAAATGTTTTTCTATGACACCTCAATGCCATAAATCATACTTTATATCTATCTATCTAGCTAGACATTTAGCATTAATTGTACTACGTTCAGCAAAGCTGGGTGGATGCAGGGAAGGAAGGTTGAAGGGAGAGGTGGGAGACATGAAAAAAGGGAGATAGTGATGGCGGGAAATGGAAGGGTAACAGAAAGGTAGGGAGACAGAAAGGTAGAAAGAAAGAAATAGGAAAGAAAGATCTGCACGCTTTGTCTCTGATTGTCTCTGCACATCCACAATCATCACTGTATATACAAGCTCTCATGCTAATACTTCTCAGTCTGACATAATGGCGTACATTACCTATAGTACAACACAACTTAATTCTTCCATTATGCTCAAAGGTCTCCCAGGACAACATCCAGACCATGCCTAATTAGTTTGATCATTACTAATATTTTATTTATTTATTTTCACTCAATGCACGATTTGTTGGCTAATGAGCGTCACTCATTTTGAAGGTTCTCCAGTCACTGTTGTGCTATTACATATTACAGTGCAGTATTGGATTGAGCATTCTGTATAGGGCAATAGCACTGTTTTGAATGACACAATGACACTGCAGTTCAGAAGAGATGGTGAGCAGGGTGGAGAGGTTTGAAGAAGGTGAATGGAGGAGAGGATAAAGGGAGAAGAGAGGACAACACAGTGACTGTAGCGTGAGAGAGAAAACCATCCATGGCCAGGAACAAACTAATCAATGCAATGTAATACTCACAAACAAACAAAAAAACAGGTCTTTGTTAAGAAGATTTTTCTCCACTTGAAAATATGAAAATAAATCACTTACAGCAGATGAAAGATATCAGTCAATATGTGTCTGTTTTTTTTTCTCCATTTCCTCAGTCTCTAAACCCACAGGGGACACCTCCGGGACCAATTTACCCACAATGCCATTCTGTGTGATCGCAAGCGGGCAGCGGTTAGACAACAGATTCAATTCCCTTGCTTAAGTAATTACCCCCTATCCATAAACCCTCTCAATTCATCTGTCTTAATAGAACCCTCAATAATGGGAGTCTATACGGTCATCGCTGGCTGCAACCAACGACCATAAAATACTATTGTCTGCGTCAAACCACTCTCAGTCTCAGCTATCACCTGACGTTTAGGATATTAGCCACTGAGGTAACTGAAAAAATGGCAGCGTTTCATTTTGAAATGAAATGGAGTTGTAATCAGAAGTTGGGCCATGAATGGAATGGATATGGTGATTAGGTTGGATAAAGGGAAATGGCCTGAAGATTAAGGGATGGAAATAGGGGATGATGGAGAAGAGTGGTTGCCATCCAAGCTTTACATATAGAGGATTAGGAACTGTATCTCTTCCACATATGGACGGCATCTGTGTGCTGCTGTTCAATATGAGTTACCCTCACACAATGTAGAGTGCTTGTGAGACCATATACAGTGGTTTGCGAAAGTATTCACCCCCCTTGGCATTTTTCCTATTTTGTTACCTTACAACCTGGAATTTAAATGGATTTTTGGGGGGGTTTGTATCATTTGATTTACACAACATGCCTACCACTTTGAAGATGCAAAATATTTTTTATTGTGAAACAAACAAGAAATAAGACCAAAAAAAAGAAAGCTTGAGCGTGCATAACTATTCACCCCCCAAAGTCAATACTTTGTAGAGCAACCTTTTTCAGAAATTACAGCTTCAAGTCTCTTGGGGTATGTCTCTATAAGCTTGGCACATCTAGCCACTGAGATTTTTGCCCATTCTTCAAGGCAAAACTGCTCCAGCTCCTTCAAGTTGGATGGGTTCTGCTGGTGTACAGCAATCTTTAAGTCATTCCACAGATTCTCAATTGGATTGAGGTCTGGGCTTTGACAAGGCCATTCCAAGACATTTAAATGTTTCTCCTTAAACCACTCGAGTGTTGCTTTAGCAGTATGTTTAGGGTCATTGTCCTGCTGGAAGGTGAACCTCCGTCCCAGTCTCAAATCTCTGGAAGACTGAAACAGGTTTCCCTCAAGAATTTCCCTGTATTTAGCACCTTCCATCATTCCTTAAATTCTAACCAGTTTCCCAGTCCCTGCCGGTGAAAAACATCCCCACAGCATGATGCTGCCACCACCATGCTTCACTGTGGTGATGGTGTTCTCAGGGTGATGAGAGGTGTTGGGTTTGCGCCAGACATAGCGTTTTCCTTCATGGCCAAAAAGCTCAATTTTAGTCTCATCTGACCAGAGTAACTTCTTCCATATGTTTGGGGAGTCTTCCACATGCCTTTTGGCGAACACCAAACGTGTTTGCTTATTTTTTTCTTTAAGCAATGGCTTTTTTTCTGGCCACTCTTCCGTTAAGCCCAGCTCTGTGGAGTGTATGGCTTAAAGTGGTCCTATGGACAGATACTCCAATCTCCGCTGTGGAGCTTTGCAGCTCCTTCAGGGTTATAGTTGGTATCTTTGTTGCCTCTCTGATTAATGCCCTCCTTGCCTGGCCGTGAGTTTTGGTGGGCTCCTTGGTCTTCATGGTGCCGCTTGCCTGGTGGTGCCCCTTGCTTAGTGGTGTTGCAGACTCTGGGGCCATTCAGAACAGGTGTATATATACTGAGATTTTGTGTATGTCCATTACATGAAATCCAAATAAAAATCCATTTAAATTACAGGTTGTAATGCAACAAAATAGGAAAAACGCCAAGGGGGATGAATACTTTTGCAAGGCACTGAATAAACACTCACTCTATCACCTTTAGCATACAATGAACACATACTCTCTCTCTCTCTCTCTTTTTGAATGTTCCCTCACCGTGAGAAGATGAGCATCCACCTCTGACTCTCCAGGCTTCTGCCTCTAATCCTCTATTTGGACACAGCATTTTGGGCCTGCATGACTCACTCAGACACACACACAAACACATACACTTGCTCGCTGGCACGCATACATACATAGGCTAGCTCGCTTGCAGACACACACACACACACACACACACACACACACACTTCTGCAATTGCAGTGGAACAAAGTAGCATTACACTGCCCGAATGAGATACTGGAATCCTCCTTGAAATTATGCTGACTTAAAAACCTCTCTCCTCTCCATTTCCATTTCACAACCACAAATAGACTGCGGTTTCTATTTACTTCTCAGAGGTTAATCAAATCGTTGACCTGGTTACTTACCACCAATTACAAACCTGGTCTTCAAGGCCAACTCTCTATGTAATTCCCTATTGATCTGAAGGTGCATTAGTTGAGGTTGAATAGTTCTTAAGAGGGAGAAAGTGGTTCTGCATTCACTGCTATCGGGTCATGCTACGGGTAAAAGAGATTCAAAGAAAAACAGTAGTGGCAAATGTTTTGCCTGATTCACATAAGGACAAACCAAGCCAAGCCAAGCCAAGCTATACTGGCCTGGTTACGCATCCACCATAGTTGCTGGAACCGTACTGTGCTGAAAAACATACAACATGAAACCTTTCACCTGTGCATTACCCACTGGGAGATATCATGCTGTGGTTGAAGAAATAGCTACATTTGGTTCTGATTTGTAGCTGAGTTTTGAGTAATATTGAAATCTCCATTTGGCACCCACGTGATCAAATCAAATCAAATCAAATTGTATTGGCCACATGCGCCGAATACAACAGGTGCAGACATTACAGTGAAATGCTTACTTACAGCCCTTAACCAACAGTGCATTTATTTTTAACAAAAAAGTAAAAATAAAACTAACAAAAAAAAAAGTGTTGAGAAAAAAAGAGCAGAAGTAAAATAAAATAACAGTAGGGAGGCTATATATACAGGGGGGTACCGGTGCAGTCAATGTGCGGGGGCACCGGCTAGTTGAGGTAGTTGAAGTAATATGTACATGTGGGTAGAGTTAAAGTGACTATGCATAAATAATTAACAGAGTAGCAGCAGCGTAAAAGGATGGGGTGGGGGGGGGGGGGGGGGGGGGGCAGTGCAAATAGTCCGGGTAGCCATGATTAGCTGTTCAGGAGTCTTATGGCTTGGGGGTAGAAGCTGTTGAGAAGTCTTTTGGACCTAGAC